GTTGTTGTTGACAAATGATGTGGTTCTGTCCTTGCAGCTACCTGGTTTTCCACACGACAGATACCATGTTGATGGAAAATAATTCAGGACTAAATATTGTCTTAATCTGTATACAATGCCCATACTGAGGTCAGCAGGTAATTCATAGTTGCAGAGGATGATAAAATCATTTCTTGCCTGGTTCTGTGGCATCTGGTTTCATTTACATTTAACAATACTATAGGAATAATATAAGACTATAGGAATTAATTTGTCCTTAAAGCATTTTGAAAGCATACTGTTGTGTCTAGCAGAACCTTTTGATTTTCATCTGCCATTCTAAAATTTTTTAATTTTGAATTGAATTTTTGGGGCACAACTGACAGCTCTAAAAACAGTATTACAAGAGTAAAACTGTTCTCTGTAGCATGAACATATTTAAGCTTTCTTCATTGTACTTCTCTATACATAAGCATGTTACAGGCACACACGACAGAACAGATTGGAATCAATAAATCTCAGAAATTCCAGCAAGTAATCATTCTCATATGTATTTTGTGCTTATAGTAACAAGTGCTTTTTTGTAAAGAACATTCTTGTTCTAAAAAGGAAAGAGTGGACTGTAATTTTTGGTACCTTTCAGCATCTGAATTGATTGACTAACAGATACAAATAAAATAACAGTTGACACCTTTAAATGCTGTTAATTCAGAACTTGTTCAGTACTTTCTAGCAAGCAATATTCGTAAAGAATTATTCCCATTTTCAAGTTCTAACGAATGTCTCTTCCCTCTTTATTTGTGAACTGTTTCCTATAACAAGCTACTACTCATGTGCATTGCTTGTATCATGGGATATTGATTTTGCTTCTGGAGCTGTTTACACAGCTGTTTTTTGTTAATAATAGAAAAATGATTAATCTGTGGTAACTTTTGTTAGAAGTTTTCTCCCTAAGTAAGTGACTGGAAAAATAAAATAAAATATCATTTTGGATATCGAGTATTATTCTCAATATTGCAAAATGAAGTAATACCAAGAACAGGGACAATATGAAATTATTTGTGCTTATAAACACTGGCAAAATGTGCTAGTGTCTTCAGGTCATCTTCTTAGTATCTGGTTTGATCAAAGTTAACTTGAAACAAATAGTCTGGAAAGATAAAAGCCATCATTACAGTTGACCTGTGTGTAATTTCATTTCATGGTGACTTTTTATTCCTTCAACACGACCTATGCAATTAAAAATAAAAAGAGATAAAGGGCAATCATTTTCCTGCCAATAACCCAAGGGTCAGAATTTAAGGCAAATTAAGTAATGAACGAAATCCCAAAAGCAGACCCACAGTGGAAAGGAATTTAAGAACTAATAAAATACATCCATAAAAATATGAACAGGAGCTGGAGGTACTTTGGAAAAAATCAGCAGTCTTTCAAATAGATGTACTGACACCATTAGAAAACCAATAATATTTTAAACTAGTTTTCAGGGAAGCGTGTTTATAAGCACAGAAAATTTCATATTGTCCCTGTTCTTGGTGTTACTTCATTTTGCAATCTGTTTGAAATATTCATTCATTCTAACTTCTCACCAGAAAACATGTAAAGATTTGGTTCATAGTTTTAAAAATTGCTTTTGAACATCAAGAAATGTACATTTTATAACAATTCAGATTTAATGTGGTTTTCCTTAAATAGTTATCAATTTTTTATCAATTTCTGTTACCAATATACAATGCTTGTACCTACAAGCCCTAAGCTTTGATATTTTCCTTACATAGGATAAGCAGGGAATAAAAACATTTTTTTAGCTCGAGTACTAGGAAATAATGACCTCAATTTAAGCCATACAATATAGCAATGAAAAATTTTAAGGAAAATGTTAATATGTTCACTACTTGTTTTTATGTATATTTTGCTGTTTTTTTTTTGTTTGTTTGTTTGTTTGTTTGTTTGTTTTCAGAATATATACCCTTATGCATGATTAGCAGAGTTTACAGGGCAAGTAATGGCTAGTATCAAATAAAGATGTATTCCTTATTAAGTTAAACTGGTAGAAGAAATGGTATGTAGCAAAAAAGTGATGATATGGCTATGACAAAATAACCATAATCATCAGGTTCTTAGTGCAGATGTAACAGAACATCTCTGTGTGAATTGTCTTCAGTGACAATAAAAGAGTATAACTGTCTGATTTTATATTTGTAACTCTAACATGGCTGCATGGGTGAAAGTTTGATATTTAGTAAAGTTTAAGAAAATCTATTCAAAACTAGTTCAGATCCTGGAAGTGGTAAAGCTCAGTTAAACTAAATTAGATAATGCTGAGATTTGTTCTGTTAAATTTCCTGAAGTTCTGTGCTAAATAGTTGTTTTGTTTTTTTTTTTTTTTTGTTTTGTTTTTTTTTTTTTTTTTTTTTTTATATTCAACTTGTTATTCTATAGAAATAGCACTGTACTTTCATATATACTTTGCTTGCTAAAGGTACAGAAGGATTTAAACACTTTGGAGCAGATTCCCATTGAAATTTACTGGATTGCATGTTCATATGTATCTATTGACAGTTTGACATTTTATTTACATTTTTAAAGCATTTATACTTCAAATCCTTTAAAATCTAGACATAAGGTACTTAGGAATCTTTCAAAATTTCTCATAGGTTGCTCAAGTACTTAAATTTTCCTTTTTCACTTACAGGTTGTCAGGGTAGTTCTCATGGTACCTTTTTGGCAGAAACCAAGGCTTGAAAGAGCATAGCGAACTGTTGATTTTCTGGAATGCCCAAAATTGTCAAGATTGAAAGATCAGGGTGGCTTTGGTAGAGAATGTCTTGAGTATGCTGTTTATTTTTATAGTTAAGTGGAGATACCGGCTGAATTCATTATGTGAGCCTCCCAGCAAAAATATTCGGTATTAATACCTTTTCTATGGAATTTTCTTATGCTGAATTGCTTTAAAGAGATGTCATATCTATAATACAGATTTGCTGGGAATTGGGGTCTTCAGAGTGGCCTTGATCAGATTGCTCTAGCCATGAATATCTTCCTTAGGTCTAGTGTCCAATGTGTCTGAATTAAGTCTTACTCTAGGGAACTTTTATTTTATTTCAAGATATTTTCTATGTGTAACCTAACATTTGCTTAAGGAGAACAGTGTCGAAGACTGATACATGGCTTTCACAGAGACATTTAAGCAAAGTTCCATAGCACAGTTGGCTGGACACCACTGAAGAGGGTATGAAATAGTAAAAGGTGCAAGCATCCCAGCCCTTGGTCTGTTACCTGCACAGGTATGGTAGTAGCAGAAGTGGACCATCCTGCAGATGCAGCTGCAGTAGCTTCAGGTTCTGTGTCAATGAAAATAAAATAATGATCCCCGAGGCAGATAGTTAAATGACTTAAAATATTTTCCCTTCAGTACTAAATTCCAAAGTATGGCAGTATAAATCAGTAATAGAAACTACAATTTTACTCCAGTTAATTTGAAGCCTGATTTTAGAAACTAAAGAAGTTGTGATATGGAAGTTATTTCAGCTAATCCCATGAAAGCTTGGATAGTCTTCTAAACTGAATATATAGACTGAAATTTCCTTAATGAATAATGAGTCTTCTATCTCCTTTTTCATTTGCCTAATATCATGTGTGTTTTTTTTTTACTTATATAAACTTTTCTTCAGCAGTCCTTGTACAGCTCTATTAAGAAAAGTTCTATTCAGGAGCTGTTCAGAAGAAAGAATCAATCTAATAATCCTGATTTTTTTTTCCTTGATCTCATAGCTCCCCTTTTCTTTGCCTCTGCTTTTTATGCTTTAAGTCGCATCTGATATTTCAAGTAGTACCATTTACATATTTCCAATATTCACAATGTAACTTTTCTCTCATATTCAGCTGGAATGTGTTAGTATACTTTAATGGGACATCTTAAAAGATTCTCAGTTGTCCCAATTTTCCGTACCTCCTGTGATATACCAACTAGATAATCACTGATTGCTCTCTTCAGCAAATCTGTTACCTTACATATTTAATCACAGATTAAGATGTCTTTTCTCTAAATCTCATGACCTGATACTTAAACTCCAGCTTTTGACAAAATTCTCCTTGTGTTTGTTCTACCCTTGTTGTGTAACCATAAATGACACAGCATGACACTGCTTAATCTTTAGACTTAATCTTTAGAGAAATGATTCAATCATTTCTCAACTTGGCTGTTTTAAACAGAACAATCATACTGTGAACTCCTATCAACTTGTCTGTCTTTCCTTCCTCCTTACAACAGGGTGTTATTTGATTATTACTTCTGCTTTTTTTTTTTTTTTTTTTTCCCTAGATCCTACATTCTTCTAACTATTGTTTTTGTTCTCTGCAAAGAAAGTCCACTGAGGTCTAAGGAAGTTATCAGTGCATATAAACTATAAAATCTGGTATAATCTGTTCCTGAAAAGTGAAAATGAATCTTTTCTTTAAAAAAAAAAAAAAAAAAGTATTGGATTTGGAAATGGCATCTTTCCTTCTTCAATTTATCATCTCTTTCCCGACTATACACCGTTCATATATCCTATCCATAACTTCATCTAAAGGAGAGATCTTTTCAGCTTTCAAATTAATACAAAAGTATAAGCATAATTTGTTGTTGTTATTGTTTTTAAATGTAGACAGCAGTTAAATTACTTCTGACTTATGCCGCTGTATCTAAGACTAGAATGCAACCTGCAGCTTTCCCAGAAACTCTGCTTTGACATCTCTGCATCGGTTATCTCACAATTTTTGAGTAGACCATATGGTCTTTGTCATGGTTTGTCAGAGTGCTGTGGCGCTAATCTACCTTATGTTACTACAGCTAAATGTAAATTAATTTCTGGGTATTAATCTAAAGGACATTTCAAAGATAAATTATACGGGTGGTGTGAATCAGTTAAGTAGCTGCATGTAACATACAAAAAACCCTAATAATTTGTTTATACACCTGTCAATTATTCTGCTTATTAGAGCAAACTTAATTGTATCAGAATACCATTTCTTTGCAGAATAATATGGCATGGATCTAATAAATTACCTGGAACTGGGTACTCAATTCTGCTCTTCGACCAGCAAAGGATGTTACAGTGGTAAGTACCGTTGTAGTCACAGCCATATGACATAGCACTGCTATAAGATAAAAGTTCATACCTGTCACCAGGAATTAGTCTGGTTATCCAAGCTCTAAATCATATGATTTAGATTCATTTCAGAGTAAGTCATGTTATTAGATTTCTAACAAATATATAAATATATAAATATAAATAAATATATATATATAGGGAGGTTTCTTTCAAGTCAAGTTGAAGGTCCTACTTTTTTATACTTTTATGGAATATTTTACAACATGTTATTATAATCCCAAAGTGAAGAAAATATGTTTTGGAGCCTAAACTCAAGTACATTTTCCTACTGGGGGAAAAAAAGGACAAAATAGTAGGGAGAAAAATACTCTATGCTCTCCTAAGGTCTGGAAATGAACCATCTAGAACAATGTATTAGCAAGTGCTTTTACTGCTTGAGCTGTGCCATGCACCATAGGTACTGGAGAAGCCATCAAACTTAATCAGCAATCAAGATGTATACTGAATACACGGAGAGCAATTACATTATGATATTATAATAATAAATTAAGGTCATTTTATTACAATAAATTTGAATAATTTAATACCATTATAAACCAATATCACATACCTTTTGAAACATTCATTACAATAGATTGTTGTTTATGCTCTGTAAAAGCCTATCATACAGTATGAATATTAACAGCCTCTATTTCCCAGACAGCTAGACAGCAATTAGAACTGATGATTTTGAATGCAATATTGAAAATGTCCTTAATTGCAGTGAGGCTTTTATTGCAGTGAAGATACAGGAAACATTTAAACTTGTAATTATGAATTACAGAAATGTATAGCATGCAAGACAGTTTATCTGTAAGTTAATATTGTTAACAAAATTGAATTCAATATTTTTTGGAGGAGGAGTAGCAGCATTTTTTCAGCCTCTGTTGGTCTGCTTTAAAAATAAATAGAAGCGTTGTGTTTGGCTCTAAGACAAAAACAAGGAAAAATGAACTGCGATAGTATGTTTAGTGACTTTGAGTGTTGAGATCTTTAATAGAATTTTTGTAATTCTAAGTTTCTTACTGTGTTTGGGCCCAAGGCCATCATTTTGGAGGAAAAAAAAAGTGTGTCCGGGGGGGGGGGGAGTAGGGGGCATAGGGGGTTGGTACAATTTGTTTCCTTGAATTGTTTTTGATACAAGCTGCTTTGGATAGAGATCATCTGTATGCAGTACAGAGTGGCCCATGGTATGTTGGTATAGTCTAATAAAAATGAAATAAGTTTTTTTTTCCAAATTTTCTCAAACTTTAGGCCTGCACTTATTGTAGCATACAGTTTCAGAAGGTTCCTGACAGAGTCAGGAGAGTTGATACTGAATAGTTTTTATGTTATCTATTCAAGAATTTCTGGTGATATGTGGAAAATGGTATATATTTCCTTCATTAAGCACTCCAGAAAATTCAACAGGATACTTAGTTCCTTGATTTCTTGGTCACCCTTACTGGCTTTATAACTGCAGATGTTATAATGGTAAAAGAGTCGTCATTTGTTATCCCAGGAACATATAAATGTTTCATTTGGGTTCTACTCTATCTAAAGTTAGAGGAGAAAATATCACTATATCACTATATCACTAGCTCTGAGGGACAGAAAACAACCACTTAAAGCAGAGACTTTTTGAATTTTGTTTTAAAAAGCAGATGGTACTTAAGTGGAGATTTTAGTGTGTTCATAGAATCATAGCGTATCCCGAGTTGGAAGGGACCCAAAAGGATCATCAAGTCCAACTCCTAGCACTGCACAGGTCTACCCAAAATTTTAGACCATGTGACTAAGTGCACAGTCCAATCGTTTTTTAAATTCAAACAGGCTTGGTGCAGTGACTACTTCACTGGGGAGCCTGTTCCAGTGTGCAACCACCCTCTCAGAGAAGAACCTCTTCCTGATGTCCAGCCTAAACTTCTCCTGCCTCAGCTTAACACCATTCCCACAGGTCCTATCACTGGTGTTTATAGAGAATAGGTCACCTGCCTCTCCACTCCCCTTCACAAGGAAGTTGTAGACTGCAGTGAGGTCCCCCCTCAGCCTCCTCTTCTCCAGGCTAAACAGGCACAGTGACCTCATCTGCTCCTCCCATGTCTTCCCCTCTAGGCCCTTCACCATCTTCGTCACCCTCCTCTGGACACTCTCCAACAGTTTCATGTCCTTTTTATACTGTGGTGCCCAGAACTGCACACAGTACTCGAGGTGAGGCCGCACCAGCGCAGAGTAGAGCAGGACAATCACCTCCCTTGACCTACTAGCGATGCCGTGCTTGATGCACCCCAGGACACGGTTGGCCCTCCTGGCTGCCAGGGCGCAGTTAATGTGACTTCAGGATTTAGAAAGGTAAGAATAGTAAATATCATATTTCAAGCTAATATTAGGTTCATAGTGGCATTTGTAAGACAGGAAGAATGTAAGTGCATCAAAGAGTAAAGGAAAGTTCCCTCAGAGCAAGGAAATACAGTGATAAGGAAGATTAGTTACAATAAGATGGTTAGAAAGATACTCAGCCTTGTTATGTTGCCATTTTCATGATAATGGTTTGCCAGTTTCACCTCCCTTTTCCATACTAGATTATTCTATAAGGACAGCTCTTTGGGAGCAACATGGGTTGGCATAACTGTGCAAGAGGAAGTGATCCAGGAGTTGAGACAGATAGAGGCAGGGCAGTGCCCTCACTGACAAAGATGAAGTCCCACAGTTCCTGAGTAAGGCAAACAGCAAACCTGGTGAGGGTATGGCAAGACTTCAGTGATCACCAGGCAGTCTCTGGTGACGAGGCAGCTTTGAGGTTAATCCTGAAAGTAGTCTGTGGGTCAGGATCAATAAGGTATATTGTACAGGATCCCAGGTAGCCAAATCTTCAGAATGTTGAAGATTCCCTGACACTAGATCATATGAAGTTAATACAAGTGTATGCCATGTTTATGTTTAGTTACTATATAACAACAATATTTATTTTTTTTTTTCATGTACTTTAAGAGTTCATCTACAAGGGCAGGAAAAATAATATTTTTATTCAGAAGTTCACAATGCCATTAGCCAGCCAACCTCCTAATTCTTTTGTATCTGACTGCCTAACAAATCTTACACATGTACAAAACATACATGCATACAAATGTGCAAGTGTGTAAAAGTTTTTAAGCATATAAAAAATAGAGCAGATGGATTTAAGGACAACTTCTCTTTCTCAGGTTAGAGGTTTTGGAGCTGTCTGTTCCCCTGAGTGATTCCATTATCTTTGCCACTGTTTCTTTTTGTTTGTTTAATTTGTCATTGTTTTCATTTTACTAACAGTGTTTTTTCTGTGACAAATATTGTTGCTATAACAGTCTCCTCTGATGTTCACAATGGAAATGTACAGTAGGAACACAATTCCAATTCCCTTTTGAATTATTTAGCTTTTAATTCTTTATTAAAAAAAATAATAATAATAAAAAAAATCTTTCCACAGTAGTAATTGTGTACAACTCTATTACTTTGTGTAATCACATTAAAACACAGTTCTAATATAATTACACTTTAATTTTAATTAAAAGCAAGATGAAGAGTACATCTGCTAGACAACATTGGATAAGGTGGAGAAATAAAAGAAGGGATGATGTCCTAGGCAGTAAATGCAATTGCCTGTGCTGGATTATTATTATTATTTTTTTTTTAACTTTTCTACTAGAAAAGTTTTACTTCTCAAGGAAACTTACGCATATTGTGTGCTGATGGACTTAATAAATGTAAGGTGGTTTGGACAGATCCAGCAATAGAAGCAGTTACTTAAGCAATCATATTTAATTTATCATCTGATCTTATGGGAATTTTGAGATCTTTGTCAATGCTAGTCTGAGAGCACAACAGGAGTAGTGTCTGAGTAACGCCGACTTTAACACTGTAGGGAAACTGTCAGCACTGTCACCTGTCACTTACTATAATAAGCGTAGCAGGGAATCTTCCCAAAACCTGAGGGCACTTGGGTATTTTTTGTATTATCTGCTATTGTTTTATTAAAGTCAGAAGTGACTTGCCACTTTCATATTCTTTTACTCAACAAGACATGGTGAATGACATATATAAGTGCATCAGACTTGCTTCTTGATTGTATATATTTATCACAATATATATCTGTTAGGTCACTAACAGACCTTTGTTTGGATGCCATTTACCATTATTGAAATTTAAATTAGTATTTTATTTGCTTGCTTATTGTTGCTTTAGAGGGCATTTCTTTGTGCTAGATACAAGCCCTAAATACCTAACAATTGAAGAACAGCATAACAAACAGCAAAACAGATCTGGGGCTAGGAATACACAACAAATAACAGAGACTATCTTTGCAGCCTAGAGTACAAGTAAATAAAAAACCAGACTGAAAATCATTTGCCCAGTATCACATAGCTATTAAGTAAAAGTGAAGAAGTGAACTGAGGAATTCTGTAGCTGTTCCATTCACTCTTCAATACGTAATATTTGGTCATTAAATGTGACTTGAATATTTTTGGTATTATCAGCCAAGTCTTCAAACAATTATTTTTTTAAACACTGGAGAGGTTTTTGGTACAACCCAGTGTACCTCTTTAGCCCTACTACTAAAGGAACGTAAGCGAGATATGAAAATGAAGAGAACTGAAACTGAGTTCAGTATTGTGCCCTGAATATAGGTCTGTTCTGGAGTTGGTCAGTCACAGCTTTAACAAAGAACAATATTTAGGATCTTGATACTTTTATTTTTTAATCACTTTAAGATGGTGCTGTCTTCAGCATATTTTAGGATAAAATAGAATGGGTATGTTTATTAATAACATCTCTATTTTATGGGTTAGGAAAATGAAATCCTGGAAATTCTGATATTTTCAGTTCAGAGTAAAAAATCTCTCCCAAGTGTTCTTGAATACTTGCGCACACCTCTCTTATTTATTTACTTAGTTTAAGGAATCTGCTTAGTGTTTTAAAATATACTCGAACAGTGTTCTTCAATGAAAATGTCA